ATTACAGGGACTAGAGTAAGAAAAAACAACACATCACTTACCAGTTTTACTCTTTTGATTTAATTAGCCATGAATATATTTAAATATTTTCACTTTCAAGTAGATAATTAAAGTAACATATTTGGAAAGTATATTAATGGAAATTATTTGAAATTTTTCACTGAATATTGTTCCCTGCAGCAGAGAGAAATAAACACGTAATCTCGAGAAATGACTTCTCACACTAAGTTAATCCTAAATCCTATGTTTTTTGTGCATTTTGTGTTCTCATTGATAATTTATCTGTATAATTTTGGTAGAAAATAATACTTTAAATTACCCATTGGTTAAATTCTCATGGAAAAACTCTTTAAGAATATTGATGCGTCTTTACAAACCTCCAGTACCATGCTAGATACTCAAATTTGAAAACACAATGGTAAAGAATTATTTTCATTTTCTCAAATTGTTCCAAAGGGGCCAGAATACATGGTGAATCATGAGCTAATATAGTGAATAATCAGAAATTGAATAATATAAATGTTAGCTGCTATTTTTTGAGGAATTGTTAATACTGCAATGCAATTCAGCAACTGGGGAGTTGCTCTTCACTCTTGAATTCTTTTGCACATGCTGTGAATTTGATGCCCTTACTGCTCTGTTCCTAACAGGCCCAAAACAAACGTCCCTTCTCTTCCTTGAACAAATCCTAGATTCTGATCTTGACCTTTAATTTACCAATCTTTATAGTACTATATTTCTTCAGTTTCTGCAATTGGATATGTAACTGGTCCAGTGGGTATATCCCTTATACAGTGTTCATGGATTTTCTTCCATAGGAGGTTCCCATTGCAAAACACATATACTTCCCTTCCTGAATGCCTTACTCTGACCCTTCTTCTCCCCTCTCACAGTACTTCTCTGTCTCAATTAGCTCTTTGCATCCAGGTCCAAACTGTCTTCTCAGCCCTCAGGATTCAAATTTACCTTCCATGTTGCTGAAGATATGATCATACTACTGACTTTCTAATTTCCCATTACTGTCACAGGTTGTGCTTTTTCATTCCTTTCACCATGCTTCTCTCTCTACCTGCTAAATGTTCTCATTCCTTGTTTTAGTTTCATGGAATCCCTTCTCGTGTCTAAAAAGACTCCTCCTTCATGTATTTTTACTGAACATTCTTTCATCATATAGTAATGGTATGCAATTCCTTGGTTATCTTTTATCTCCAGTGTCTAACAAGGTGATTGGTGCATAATTTGTTTTTACAGTGATAATACTTTCAATCAAATGATGATTCTAATGATGGAAATTTCAGGTTACATAAGTGAAAAAGGAAAGAAATGCCTTTTAAACTGTGCCACATAAGTTTAAGGTGGGCTTAATCACTGCTGTTCAACCACTGCACTTAGAAACCTTAATCTGCCTTTGGGGCTTCCCCCATGGCTCAGTGGTAAAGAATCTGCCTGTAATGCAGGAGCCTCAGGAGACGTGCATTTGATCCCTAGGTCAAGAAGATCCCCTGGAGTAGGGCATGGCAACCCACTGCAGTATTCTAGCTTGGAGAAGCCCCTGGACAGAGAGCCTGGTGGGCTACAGTCCATAGATTCACAAAGAATCGGACACAACTTAGCACACACACTTGAAATCTGCCTTTGGCTGTCATTCTCTGGATTCTGGTTCCCATAATAAGGCCATGTGGGCATCTAGAAATGAGAGAAGAGAAAGGGAAAAGTTTTCAGGAAAGAATCAAGGAAACTGCAACTTGGCTTCTAATGACTTCTGGAACTGTAGACAGCTGGGCAGGAAAAGTGCTGGCTCTCAAAGGATATACACAAATGCCAACCATTTAAATCCTTGCTGTGATTATGCAGGTAAAAAAAAATAAAACAGCAGAAACATAGCCTGTCAAAAAAGAAGAGGTACTTGGCTCCCTCTGTAACAAAGGAAATTTCAGTAGCCATGACAGATGCATTCATCCAGCTATTGCATTCTAAAACACAAATACTGGATCATCCCAGGAATTCTTGGCTGCCTGTCAAGAGAGTCATCAAATCTCACTGTCTACTCAAGCTTCCCATTTGGAAATAAACCTTCATGCTAAGATGAGCCACCTTGTGTATATACATCAAGACACATTGGATTCGAATAGTAGCCCTGATTCAAAACTGGGATTCCTGTGTCTTAAACCTAGAAGCACATACTGGGTCCAACTGCGAGAGTTACGGAAAATGTTTTAAGTTTCTGGAATGAATCTCTGATACCTAAGCACTAATATTGGACTGCATTTCATTTAAAGGGTCAAGTTTCATTAAACAAATGAAATGATAATTGTTATATAATTTGAAATAATGACATTTAAACATTAATGTATATATGTATTATAGATGCTCTTTAACATTTAAACATAGTCTCAGTAATTTTACATAAACCAAACTAGAAATGTACAGTAAATCTACTTTTCAAAAGCAAATTCCATATTACTAGCTCCTCTTTGATTACTATTTTTATCTAAAGTGATATACCTTTAATATGATTTCTATGTATTATAGTGGAGAAACAATGAAGCCATTTTATTACAGTACTATTGAAAAAATGTTGGTGCATGAACTCCTTATTGTCAAATTCAGACTTAAATTGAAGAAAAGTAGGGAAAACCACTAAACCGTTTCAGTTCAGTTCAGTCGCTCAGTCGTGTCCGACTCTTTGCGACCCCATGAATTGCAGCACACCAGGCCTCCCTGTCCATCACCAACTCCCAGAGTTGACTCAAACTCACACCCATCGAGTCGGTGATGCCATCCAGCCATCTCATCCTCTGNAGGAGGTAAACCTTCAGTTCTGATTGAATGTGGGGATGAGAGAGGGACAGAATTACGGGAGAATTCCTAGAAGGACCCCGGTTTATGGTGTGGATGGTTGGTTTGTTGATGTTTCCATTCGTGAAGTAATGTTTAACTAGTTTGTCTCCAACTGCATAAAATCATAGTTCCAAACATCTTCATTATAGAAGACTGTACAACTGAGAAACATGTGGGAGAAGCTTCCCTGGTGGTCCAGTGGCTGAGACTACATGCTCCCAACACAGGGGCCCTGGGTTTGGTTCCTGATCAGGGAGCTGGATCCCACGTGCTGCAACTAAGTTCTCAAGCCGTAACTGAAGTTCTCACATGCTGCACCTGAAAAGATCCCACGTGCCACAGCTAAAGATTCTGCAACGAAGATCAAAGATTCCTCGAGCTGCAACTAAGACTCAGTGCAGCCAAATAAATATTCAAAAAAAAAAAAGAAGAGAGAGAGAAATATGTGGGAAAAATAGAATCCGGTGACCAGGGCAGTTGCAAATTTATGAAAACCCCTATTAATACAATTTTACCCCTACAAAATTAAGGCAATAACAGAGTCCTGAATAAAGATGACATCAATGACATTTCCCCCCCACGTCTTCAATTAGCAAAACAGCAAAAATAGGTACTGTATCATTTAACTCCCACTGACTGTAGCTCTCTTGAAATTTTCTATACTATCTTTCCCAATGGTTTCGATGGACTGCATGAAGATATGTTTTGCTCTATTGAAGATGATAAGCATATTCAGAGGCATTTTTCTTTTAGTGTCTAGTGATCCATCCCAATGCTTAATGCCTTTCTGATTTTCTGATCTGGACTGTCAAAGTCATCATATCTAGGTCATGGCTCAAAATTAACTATCACCAATTCATGCATAAACTTGATCCCAAGTTCTCATAGCTATAACGCAAAAGCATAGAGAATGAAGTCCATCTAAGTACAACAGAGTAAGGGGAGAGATTGCCACATTTTAAATCCAGTTCGGGGTATGTACTGTTGACCATAAAGGTGTGAGTCAGCTTTCAGTTCCCCCTTGGTTTCTGACACTTCATGCACCTGCTACTGTTCACTTGACTCCCGCAGGGGGCTCAGCTTCAGTGCAGTCCTTCAACGTCTCCCTGAGACCAATGAGGATGCGAGAGGAGAGAGGCGGCTTATAGGTCTTAGCTCCTTGTAGGTCTTAGCTCCACATCCTCTCATGGCTGAGCTGGTCTTGACCTTACGTTCGAGCTCTGATAATGGCTTGTTTGCCTTGTTCCTGAGAAGCTGAGCTACACAACTCATTGACATGTCAATAACCTCAGATATGCAGGTGATGCCACCCTTATGGCAGAAAGTGAAGAGGAACTGAAGAGACTCTTGATGAACGTGGAAGAGGAGAGTGAACAAGTTGGCTTAAAGCTCAACATTCAGAAAACTAAGATCATGGTATCTGGTCCCATCACTTCATGGTAAATAGATGGGGAAACAATGGAAACAGTGACAGACTTTATCTTTTTGGCTCCTAAATCACTGCAGATGGTGACTGCAGTCACGTAATTAAAAGACGCTTGCTCTTTGCGAAAAAAGTTAGGACCAAACTCGACAGGGTATTAAAAAGCCAGAGGAATTACTTTGCCAACAAAGGTCCATCTAGTCAAAGCTATGGTTTTTCCAGTAGTCACATATGGATGTGAGAATTGGACTATGAGGAAAGCTGAGTAACGAAGAATTGATGCTTTTGAACTGTGGTGCTGGAGAAGACTCAAGAGTCCCTTGGACTGCAAGCAGATCCAACCAGTCCATGCTAAAGGAAACCAGTCCTGAATATTCATTGGAAGGACTGATGCTGTAGCTGAAACTCCAATACTTTGGCCACCTGATGTGAAGAGCTGACTCGTTGGAAAAGACCCTGCTGTTGGGAAAGACTGAAGAGAGTAGGAGAAGGGATGAAAGAGGATGAGATGGTTGGATGGCATCACTGACACAATGAACTTGAGTTTGGGTACACTCCGGGAGTTGGTGATGACAGGAAGGTCTCGTGTCCTGCAGTCCATGGGTTTGCAAAGATTTGGACATGACTGACTGAACTGAACTGAACTGATTTATTCTTCTCCCTGTTGAAAGCTTATTTAACAGTTTTAAGCTTATTAAAAGAAAATAAAATCCTCTTTTCTCAAAACATCTTACAGGTACTGATTAGAAATAAACTTTACTCATAAAGGGAAGTACGGACTGGTAAAATCTGGTGGAAGCACTTCACCTTTTGTGTACTCATTTCAACTCAGGTGAGTTTTTTAGTAACTAAAAGCAATTTCATTTGACCTTCTCGATGACCTTTCTGAGATTGGGTATTGGCAGCTTAAGGTACCTCATAGAGGAACTGGCCATCTTTCAAAAGCACCAACATAATTGGCACTCCTTCCAATAACCTTTTCAGAGTCACAAGGGTAAGTGAAAACAGAGCAAACCAAACATTCATAATGGTCTTTCTTGGGCAAGGTCAAAGTCTTTTTTTGTTTGATTTTTGTTGTTTTGTTTTATTGTGTGGTTGTTTTTCATAAGAGGGCACTACACTCGTAATTCTGTCAATCTACAACCTTTTTTAAATATGGAGATAAAACAAAGTAAATCTGTCATTACATTTATTTCCTGTACTAGTAATAATTACTGTAAGAGACACAGAGAAAAATATTTAGTGATCAAAATCTGAACACAAAAATGCTCATTCATTAAGTTTCTTTGTGGTCAAAACACTACAAATGATATAGCTGTGCTGAATGCAAGAAAAATCAGGGGCATTCTTTTCCTAACTAGTATGAATATCATAGGGCCGACTGTGTCATTCGGTTCCTTCATGATCTGCTAATTATTGGAATACATGACAGTAAATTAATTGGGGATATTTTTGTTTAATCCTTGGCATGGGGAGAGTTGAATTGCTCCTGCTTCTGGCCCAGTGTTTCACCATCTGGAAGGCCACAAACCGCCGGAAATGCCCCCTTTCCTCCCAAATAAAAAATGAAGGATAAATGCTTTTGAACACTACCTTATGCCTGTTTAAACATCAGTTTCCGACTATACACAGTAGCTTATTCTACCTCTCCCCCTTACTCTTTTCATTTCCCTCCCTCCAACTCTCCTGACAAAGGAGAAAGAAAGAAGGAAATCTTACATGTTCTACACTCCTATTATGATCCCCAGTGTGGTGCCATTAAATAGTACCCTTTCTGAGTGGGTCTAATTGGCCAATATATGGTGCTTTCTATTGATGCTTTTTAGTCACTCAAGAGTTCGATGTACTTACATGTATATAATTCATCATACGAAGGTCATTTTCTTCACCCTTATTGTTCTGCAATTTAAATAGTTATTCTATGTGAATCTCCATGTAATTAACTGGTTTGGTAGCAATTTCAAGGACTTCAGATAGACAAAGGGAAAACTGAAAAATGCCACATTTGTGAATTAGTTTGCATTCAGAAGCATTACTTGTCGTTTCCCTAGACCACCAGATGTCAGCCTAAATTGAAGAATGGAAAGGAAAACCGTGTACCAGAGTGTTAGTGTCTAGTGTGCCAGATGGAGTTTTACACAACCCTGCAGGAATAGTTAGCCAGCAGTAGTTAAAATTCAGTGTTAGAAATAGCACAAGTGACACTGCATGCACTGTAGCATTTTTTGATTATGGAACTTAATTGTACCATAGATCATTGATAGCTTAATTTATAAGGATTGATTTTGTTAATTCAAGCAGTTCAAAAGTCACTGTTAAAGCTTCAGTCCATTTAATTGTATCTGACTTAAGCTTTACTCATGCTCTCAGAAGACAAATGGCTGCATAGAGGTGATACATTTTTATTTTTTCTGCTGTTTATCCATTCATTTCTGTGTGTATACTTTCCCGTGATTTACATTTCGATGAGCTGCTCTCAGTTGAACTAAAAAAAGTGCAGATGTTAATTCTTTTGAAAATATGTCACTTTTGATTTCATGACCATGGGAGAACTAACAACCATAAAATGTTGAAGATTTTCCTCTCAATATTACTATCCACTTCAGACTGGAAGATCTCAGGTGTTACTTCTTTGGACCAAATTGTCGTGAGCTAATCTAACAGAAGTGGTCTGCTATATTTATCATTGATACATGCAACATTAAATGTGGAGGGAAATTCAATGAACGCATGCATTAGTAAAAGTGGTCAGGAATACCTTTAATTTTAGTTATTTTTGACTTTAACATAGGAACATGAGTAATATTACTTCCCAGGCGGCACAGTGGTAAAGGATCTGCCTGCCAATGCAGGAGATGCAAGAGACGTGGGTTTGATCCCTGGGTTGGGAAGATCCACTGGAGTTGGAAGTGGCAACCCACTCCAGTATTCTTTGCCTGAAAAATTCCATGGACAGAGGAGCCTGGTGGGCTACAGTCCCTAGGGTTGCAAAGAGTCAGATGACTGAGCATGCACACACACACACACACACACCACACACGAGTAATATATTAAATTGAAAAACAGAGGAATTAATTTAAATGATTAAGCCAATTCATGTGTATGTATGTGTGTGTGAGAGAGAAAGAGGTATGTATATTTTACCCTGATAGTTTATTTAGGATTCAATCTTGCTCAAGCTGGCTCTCATCATTGATGTATCAATGAAATGAGGTTTTTCTCCCTCTGTCTCTTCATCTTCTCCTTGAATTTTTAACCCTAATGTTATTTGAACTCCAGTAGCCAGGTTCTTATCTTTTTTCATCCCACTGAGCTGTGAAATCCAAATTCCCTTTGAAGCCAATGATAATGATAATGATAATAAAACCTCACATTTGCTTATCATTCTGAAAATAAAAGAGCTTAAAATATTCTACAGACACAATCTTATTAACCTCATAATAAAGTCCTTTTGGACTTAGTGAATGCAAATTTCAAAAAAGGTTAAAGGTTTGCTCCATTATTGATGACAGGATCAAATAGAACTCCTTATTTTATCTCAAAAGTGGCTTTGATATCTGAACTTAATTTTTAAATCAGATTAGTGAGAAAGAGGGACAAAATAAGAAGCTGGCCCATTGTTTAGTTTTTCTTAGTCCTTAATAAGACAACTTCTATAATGATTTTCTATAATAGAAAATAACATATGAAAACTTAGGTTTGATTATATCCTACTATTATGTTTGTATATTTTGAATCTCAAATATCTAATTTATATGTCTATGCTTTAGCAATATTATTATAACCAAGAGGCATATTAATCTCTAGCACATTACAAACAGCCTAAGGTACAGATTTTGTATTTTCCCCCTGCACAAAAATCTTCATATGATAGAGATATTACTGTCTGAAAGATGATAGGATATTCTTACTTCTTTCCCAACATAACCACCATATACATTAAGAAAAATTTAAGAATAGATTTGATTTGCTAATTGTAATTCCAGAAATAAATTGCAAAGAAAATAAAAGACAAACTGCAACACAAGTCTATCCCATTTATTCAAGCCAATAGGTGTGGAAGTGATGTAATGGGTCCTGTAACCATGGGTATGATTAGAGATTGAATCTGAATATATGCTTTCAGGCACAAGGATGTAATGATACATATACCACATATAGTGGCTTTAGTTTTGTTTTTGTTTTTCCTATCCAAAGTGGCAAAAGAAAATTTTTGGATTTTGCCTTGCCAATGCTTCCCAAAGTCTCAAGTCAAAAAAAAAGAGAAAAAGTTTCTTAAAGTCACAAAATTGTAGGTAATAGTTGAACCATGTTGAATTTCACCAAATATTTGTTTATCGTTTAGATGACAAATAGCTTTGAGAATTTCCCTGAGGACCTGTTCACTCATCCTCCACACAGCTTGATGCAAATGAAATCTGGGATTGCTGAGTCTTCTATCCTTTCCTACTCAATTCAGTGACAGCCCAAGTCCACCACAGCACCTTTGTCCACAATGCTTGGCAAACAGCAGAGACTCAAATGTGTACTAAAAAAAAAAAAAAAAAAGAATTGTACAATATCATTTAACCATGTTCATTTAACTAAGTTCAGTCGCTCAGTCGTGTCCGACTCTTTGCAACCACATGGACTGCAGCACGCCAGGCTTCCCTGTCCATCACCAACTCCTGGAGCTTGCTCAAACTCATGTCCATAGAGTCAGTGATGCCATCCAACCATCTCATCCTTTTGCGTCCCCTTCTTCTCCTGCCTTCAATTTTTCCCAGCATCAGGGTCTTTTCCAATGAGTCAGTTCTTCGCATCAGGTGGCCAAAGTATTGGAGCTTCAGCTCCAGCATCAATCCTTCCAATCAATGTTCAGGATTGATTTCCTTTAGGATTGACTGGTTTCATCTCCTTGCAGTCCAAGAGCTCTCAAGAGTCTTCTCCAACACCATAGTTCAAAAGCATCATGTTACTCTTACAAGTACTTTTATTTGTGTTTTACTTTTACATGTTACTCTTACAAGTATTTTTAAAAGTTACTCTAACAAGTCACATGTTAACCATGTTACTCTTCAATATTTCCAAACCCCTACATTGTTGCTGAATGATTTTTAAACTCTTGGCACTTTAAAGAGCCAATCTTGTGTGGCATGTTTTAGCTGTTGCTAGACATATGCATAGCTTTCTGTGTACTAAACTCTTCATTTCTCAAGTTATGTTATTTTAAAGTTCTTCTATATATTTAAAAAAGATAAATATGCCGACTCAGAAAATGCTAAGTAGTGTAGTGATTTCTTCTTTATATTGATAAAAATTAACTGGATAACTTTTTTGGGAAAAAATTCCATGCTGAGAAGTAAAAGATTTTTTCTTTGCATTTAATTAACTGTTGCTATTTCAGGCTTAAGAAAAAGGAAATTTATTTTTACAAATAAATTTATTTAAATTAGATAAGCAATCTGCAGATCAGTGAGAGAGAACCTATGGTTTTTGAAGAGCATGTTTCTTCAGGTTTCTCCCATTAATAGGGTAAAAGAGCATTGAAATTGCATAAATAATGCTAATTAATATTTAATGAGTGATTGACCAAATGCCAGATGTGTACCTACCATGACCAAAACCAAGGAAATAACTTTCAATGATTTTCACAGTCAATATCTTTGGTGAATCATTATTTAAATAGGTTGTTAAGATATCCCTGGCTTTCATAATCAGGCATTTGTCTTCTGCTTCTATATTTAGTTAGGAAGTAAGATTCTTTAGACTTATAATCAATGAGCCAAAAACTATGTCTCATGGAAATACAACATTGTATACTTCAAAACTGCTGAAAGCACAAAGATAAAC